TTCAAATAGTTCTGTCATTGGGCACTTTGATACCTACTGACACACCTGAAATCCTAGTCCCTTTTTCTTTTAAGGGAGCAGAATTAATTATTCTGCACCATGTCATGTGTGTTTGTGTGGCTGAAGACTTAGATTAGAGGTCATTTAATAAAAACACTTTTAAGAACAGTTTTCTGAGCCATTCAGTCAGGCTGTGTGCCCACTTCTGCCATACAACCGCATCATCTGTGGGTAGTTTGCTGCTTTGGAGCAGACTAAGTGTGTGAGAGGCCAGAACTCTCAGCTTAAATTGTGTACGCAAGAGCTTTCTTTTCTAAACAGTGTATCAGGATTTTATTCAGGATAGGTTCATATCAAAATGTGAACTGCTAAGTTATATCTTTTATGGAACATTTTTCTAAGGGGAAGATAATTGAATTTTGTATCAATAACAGCGTAAACCATGGGATATTTCTTTGCACTTCTTTCAAATTTGGATTAAGTATAAAAATGCTTACCTTCTTTCTCCTAGCAAATATGATTAATCCTTCCTCTAATGAGTGTATCTACTTTTAGAAAGAGTAAAATTAAATAAAATTCATATTCTTCTGACAGGTGTGTTTGTGAAATGCAATGGCACACATGCAAAAGCAAGATAACTATTTACAAAGATAAAAATATTTAACCTGTTTCATACATTGGAGAAATAAACTATATTGCTCTACAAGAATTCCCTGTACTGGTCAATGACATTTTCTGTGTATACTAAGAATAGTGATTTACCCAGGGCCTTAGAAAGTAGTGTTAGAAAGGGTATAGGAATATTCCTTATAAATAAGGTGGAAATCTTGTATCACCTTGTGATACAGCTTCAGCACTAAGACAATTAGTTGCCTTCTGAAAATTTTAGTTCAATCCCAGGCCAAACCAAATAATAATTTACTAAATAGCTGAAGAGTTCTTTATTGAATGTTCTCACACACATACTGATCTCTTACTCTATTCATATTTATTTTTAAATATCACTATTCTTGGTTACATCTATTCAAATGCAATGATAAATGTGTTGAAGTGTTATGAGTTAGACTCCTGTCTGTGTTTTTTTTCCTTTCTCTTGGTGAGAAGTAAGATGATATGGATTAAATGAATTAAACTTTCTGCTCCATCTTATCTTTAACTATAACACTGATGTTTTTCGTTGGAAGTAAATCATGTTTATTATCTTATGTCACACAGAACCTGCTGAGACAAATAGAATTGTCGGATAGTGTGTACATCACTGAGTCAGCAATTAGTAGTTTATTCAGTCTTACCCAGGAAGGTGCTCATCTGTGCCGTATCATAGCTAAGGTAAGGGGATTTATGAATTAATCCAAAGTAAACTAGTCATACAAGTGAGTTATTTTAATTCACACAGTAGTGGTTGTAAGTTTTGAAACGTACAGTATAAGATGAAATTCTGTATTTAAGGAGACAAATAATCTAGTTTAAAGAATAACAAAATTTACTCTGAGAAACTATTTTTTTCTTATTTTGTTGCTTTTTGCAAGCCTTACTTACAATTATCCTCTTAGATTAAAAAAAAAAAAAAAAAAAAGGAAATAAAGGCACAAACCCCAAAATCTTTAATTCAGTAAAGCTCAATGCCTGTGCAAGCAACCTGCAGTAGGATGGTAAGCTCCAACAGGCTTCTGGGTATTGATTCAGCTACAGTTGTCTTTGTGCCACCTGATGTATTATCACTCCCAGCATCACTATCGGCATCTTGGGCATTTTTTAGTGTCTCTCCTGAGAGTACCCAGCCACGGAAGTGGAGAGAAACTTTACAATTGGCCATGTATATGGGTGACAAGTACGCAGAGAAACAGCAAGGCGCTTTAGCTGTATGTACAGAGGAGGTTAGTGACATTATTAAAGATGTAGTTTTAAAAATACTTTGCATCCATTATTTTCCTTTTACAGAGGAACGTCATTACAGTTACTTCTGGCAGTGTGTGTTCTCATTCACTGACTAGTTGGTGCTAATTTTTGGTATAAATGAATTATTCTGCCAAGATCAATGATACTGGCAATCCTTGCAGAGTTTGCACCTTTGAGGACACTTGGATCTTGAAAAAGTGAGAAAGGCAGGGCATTGTGTGAGGTTGAGGATAGGATAATCACATCCACAGAGTATATAGAAACAAGACAACCTCCTTTCCCAAGCTTCTGCTTGCAGAGTGGTGTGCCAGTCCCTTGTCCTGCTCAGAGATGAAGTTAAACAGTGGCATTTAATTAACTTTACTTCTGATCTGCGTTTAGATGGATGTTTGAACCATAAGAGGTACTGCTCTGTTCTGAAGGTTGCAAATGAGGTAGACTCAGAAACGTGTAGTGGATCCTAGCAACAGCCTGAGAGGTTTAATTTTTTCTAAATTTATATTTGAGCTCCACTCAGTGGTATCCAAAAACAATGTTAAAATGTTGAGTATTGAGGAAGTACAGAATTAACAAATTGAGGAAAACTGGTCTTGTGATTTTATCGTTGTGTGAATTCCATAATAGTTTAATGCTAGCAGAGGAAGTGCAGAATTAACAAATTGAGGAAAACTGGTCTTGTGATTTTATCATTGTGTGAATTCCATAATAGTTTAATGCTAGCAGAAGTAAAGTCTGGCCTTCCATAAATCACTAAATTAATTTATTGCTAAAACCTGAATGTGTCACAGGTTTACAAGTGAGGAAATGTATCCCCTTATGCAAAGAACCCTATGTGGCATTTGGTCGCCAAATTACAGCAGTGATTGCATCGCCTGTCCTGTGTGTCTGTTCCCTCTGTGCACTGTGAAATACATTTGTCCCAACTCACCATCATCCTTCACCCTCTGTATTGCTTCAGTTATTTGCATCAGTGAGCAAGGGGGCAGAGGAATTGTAACAGACCAGAATTTTTAATTCAGTCACTTGAGTAGTTAGCTATGCCAGTGAAAGTGCAGGGTGATTTAAAAAAAAATAAAATAAAAAAAAAATCCAGAACTGCACCCGCTCATTAAGAGGGTGAGAATGGATTCAATTTTTGTAAAGATCTCAAAATCTCCCACATATACAGAAGTTTCCTTGAGAGTTGTCATTATCTTTGTAAAAACTAGCCAGAGAAGTGGAATACTTGTTTACGGTGAAAGCAAAACTCAACAAATTTGTTCATGTAAACTTGAAGTCTTACCCTCCATGACAATGTGTGATCTTGTGGAAAGCTGTTGTTAGCTTTTTTCCTGTCCCAAGCTATAAATTACGACTCGAAAGCACACCAAAATCTTGGGCATGCAAACAAGAAATCATGATAACGTTATAAAGCTACAATATTATGGGAACTGTTTTCTCACTTTACATTTTGGTAAGAGTTTCAGTCTTCTCTCTTCCTCCCTCTACTCCCCCTGACAATATTTTTACCAAAATTTAAAAAGGCTTTGAAATGCTAATCCCCTATGCTGAAGTGTCGCCTATAATTTTAGTCCACCTGGAGGCATTCTTCGACTTTTTTTTCTTTTAGCATGTAACTTCGTAATCTGCTGTGAAAGAGTCATGTCGCTGACTCACGCTGGCAGCCAGCTAGTTGTTTTCACTAGCTATGAGACGTATAAAGACTAAGATCTCTAACACAAATGAGTAGTAGCAAGGGCAAGATAAGAAGTGAAGGGAGAAAACCTAAATAATAATAAAAATCCTTGAATTCTGAGCTAATAGAATAACCAACATTGAACTGTGAGTTTCAAACCATAATATGTAGTGTTCATCTACAGGCAACTACACTGGTGGCAGCATAATGGAAACTCCACTGGTTTAGATAATTTTAAAAGCAAAAAGAGAAAATGAGGAAAGGAAGAGCCAAGTAGAGCATTTGCTGCAACTACCAGGGAAAATTTTTACTCAGGTTTCTGTCTGCAGATCAGTTTCCTACCTTTGGAACCAAATGTTGCTAAAATACTCCTCTGTCAGGTCTTAAGACACATACTTAAGCATTAAAGAACATGACTAACTTGCTGTATCATTGTCTGGGGTTGCATTACAGGGATGTATTTGTAAAAGTCTTTTTTATTACATCGTGGATGTATAGATTTTTTATTACAATACGGATGTATGGATTTGATGGATGGACTGTTCACTGCATGAGGAATTGGCTGGATGGTTGCATCCAGAGGGTAGTGGTCAACAGCTCAATGTCCAGATGGAGATCAGTGACGAGTGGTGTCCCTCAGGGGTCTGTATTGGGACCAGTACTGTTTAATATCTTCTCCAACGCCATAGACAGTGGGATCAAGTGCACCCTCAGCAAGTTTGCAGATGACTCCAAGCTGAGTGGTGCAGCTGACATGCCTGAGGGATGGGATGCCATTCAGAGGGACCTGGACAGGCTGGAGAGGTGGGCCTGTGTGAACCTCATGAGGTTCAACAAGGACAAGTGCAAGGTCCTGCACCTGGGTCGGGGCAACTCCCAGTATCAAGACAGGCTGGGGGATGAAGGGATTTGAGAGCAGCCCTGCGAAGAAGGACTTGGGGGTACTGGTGGATGAAAAACTGGACATGACCTGGCAATGTGTGCTCACAGCCCAGAAAGCCAACTGTGTGCTGGGCTGCATCAAAAGAAGCATGGCCAGCCGGTCGAGGGAGGTGATTCTGCCCCTCTACTCTGTTCTGGTGAGACCCCACCTGGAGTACTGCATCCAGCTCTGGAGTGCTCAAGCACAGGAAAGACACGGACCTGTTGGAGCAGGTCCAGAGGAGGGCCACAAAAATGTTCAGAGGGATGGAACACTCCTCCTGTGAGGACAGGCTGAGAGAGCTGGGGTTGTTTAGCCTGGGGAAGAGAAGGCTCCAGGGAGACCTGATTGTGGCCTTTCAATACTTAAAGGGGGCTTCTAAGAAAGATGGGGACAGACTGTTTAGTAGGGCCTGTAGCGATATGACAGGGGGTAGTGGTTTTGAACTGAAAGAGGGTAGATTTAGACTAGATGTAAGGAAGAAATGTTTTACGATGAGGGTTGTGAAACACTGGACCAGGTTGCCCAGAGAGGTTGTGGATGCCCCATTCCTGGATACATTCAAGGCCAGGTTGGACGGGGCTCTGAACAACCTGCTCTAGTTGAAGATGTGCCTTCTTATTGCAGGGTGGTTGGTCTAGATGACCTTTAAAGGTCCCTTCCGACCCAAACTATTCTATGATTCTCTGATTATATCTATTAGATTTTGATCCTGAGATCTTTCATATTAAAAATTATAAATTAGTCTTGGTTGTTAAAACCCTACCTTCATGTTCTGACAGCATAAGGAGACGCTGAAAACCAGAGGTTATAAATTTTGAGTGGACTTGAGCACTTGTCAGAAATTAGCATTACTTGAAGTAGACTGGTTCTAAATTGATTTGGCTTTGTAACAACCAGAAGAATTAGTAAAAATCAGTTCCAGAGTTACAAGAAATAAATGCTGGGTACAGTGATACAGAAAAAAAGCCTTTGTTAATAAATCCATTTCACTGATGATGATTAGAGTCTAATACCAACTGTATTGAACTGTGTACTATAATAATAGTCTCCTAAAAGAGAGAGAGGCAGAAATGATAATGAATTCAGCCATACCTGCTGATCACACCCTTCTTTGGAGAATGCTTGACCATTAGCGTCCTATATGGATGTGCAGCAGATCACTGCTCTGAGAAGCTTCTAATACATCTTGGCCTTACCTTCTTTGTACATCAGTTCCTTTTCTAGCAAGTATTTACTCTGAAGATTTCTTCACAGACCATCTTTCAAGCTAATTATAAATGTTGTCCTCCATCACGAGGAAAGGCTTGATGAGAACTTGTTGCACTTCAAGTGATTTCAGGCTGAAGCTGCAAAATATTACACCTTAGAGTTGGATGTCTTTTCTCTCCCCTCTTTATTCACTTAACTCACTATGCACAGTGGGGCTTTTTATACTCATGACCTCCTTCACATACTTTTTGTGATTGTGTTTCAGGTGATTTTGTTATCTCCTGCTAGCCCTTCTGAACAGCATATCAGGGATGTCTCCAGGAATTTAGTTCCTATTTATGCAATATAGGAGAGAAGTAGGTCTTTAAGCAGTAAAGCAAGTTCTCCTCTTTTTCAGATACTGCTTCACAGGGTATGTGAAGCCTGTCCCAAATGAAACTTGCATTACAGTGAGCATTTCGTGTGTTATTTTGGCATTTCCAGTTTTTGACCAAAAGTCTGCAAATGATAAATAAAAACATGCTTAGACATACTGGAAGCTTTGGGAAAGGTGCAAGTTAATCTCCAAAGCAAGCAAGCTCAGTGCTGCTATGTTTCTTTGAATGGTACTGTTTACCCACTTGACCAATTTATTTGTATCCCTGTCAGATGGAACAGTTTTGTCATCATTGCAAAAGATACAGGGGAAAAATCTTGAAAAAGGCGAATGAATTCAGGGGAATGCTGAGATCCCAGTGAGGGGAGTGGTTTTGACAAGCCATAGAATCAGGCTCAGCATTTCCTCCCTATTCCATATTTCAATTACAGCTCTCTAGGTTCATTACTTGTGATCAATATTTTACAGCTTGGTAATGGCACACAGGGCACAAAATAAACAGTTTAGATCTCCTCCTGACAAATGCAGTAATAAATCACTTCCTGTCCATCAGAGGCAAAATCAGGCCACCCATTTGTCATACAGAAAGCCTGAAGCAAATGTGCCAACATCACTTGAGCTTTACTAGTGTTGTCCACAAATTTCTGCTTATTATGACTAAAGCAGAGAATCAGATCATCTCTGGTTCCACTGAACTGTGGGAACTTTCAAACTGATAATAAAATAGAATAAAATAAAATAAAAAAAATCCCAGTTACCTTAGGTTTGAGGACAACACTGTAATAGTTTTTTTCTATATTTTTCATAGATAATTTACTTACTGCTTGGGTGAAATATCAATGTCCTTTTGTGGAAGGAAAAATATGACTGAGACTTTTTTTGTTAGCATACTGCCTTTATTTTAAAGGCTCAGAAATGTTTTTCTGCAGTAGGCTATGTATAGCAGTACTAGAAATAAAATAAGTCATACAGATACATGTGCACTTCTTATAATTCCAGAAATAAATTTTACTCTTAGCAAACCTCAGTAAGCCTACTGTTTTCACTGATCTCAAAGAAACTATATATACATGTGCAAAGACAAAATATAAAACTTATATCCTGAAAATATATTGAGGTGTTAATTTTGTTGAATTTTAATTTTCTTATAAATTGATGTATATTTTTGTTAGAATGAACAGATAGGTTTGCTTGCTCTATTATTCTTTACTCTATTCCAGCAGAACTAGCTCAAAAATGTAGATTTCTGAAAATGAGTGAAGTCTGACTTGTAGTCTGGAGGTTTTATGTCAGTACAACCTGTTGAGCTTTCAAATAACACAAATGGTTGAGGAGAAAAAGATTATTTCTGTGGATCTGAAAAATATTTTTATATAGAGGCTACGGAAACAGGCCTAAAAGTAAGGATGTATATTACACTTGGTCCATGATTCCAACTATTTTTAATTTACTAGTGTAATCTGAATACTTTCATCTGAGATCTTTCATCTGTCATTAATATTTTAAATGCTTTCCCCTCTTCATTATATGTCGGCTTTTACATAATATCAGGCATCTGTAGTCTACCTGACGGCATAACATTTTGAAAGGTGGGACAATCCAAAAAAATCCCACCACATGAAGTGCATATATTGTCTGTATTTATTTATATCTTTCCATTTATTATGTGAACTTTGCTCACACTTATATGTTTACAAACCATGTTAGAAATTATTAAGGATAGCTATTGTAAGGATGTATATGTACTCAAATCTTTGTCATTGTTGCCATATTTAAAGAAAAAAGTGTAGGAATGCAAATTTTATGTATTAGAGGATGAAGATACGGCTTGTAACTGTATAGAACTTGACACCTGTGTCCACATTATTTTCAGTAGCTCTTCAACAATATGACCTTCTCTTTCATATTTTAGCATTAAGTCAATATTGTATTGGAGCTCAGAAATGTAGAGGAATGGGAAACATAACAAAAATCTGTTTTAAACTAATAGCATATGGTTGAACTGTCACTTAAATGTTACTCCAATTGCTGCCTATTGATAATTCTTTGTAATATTCACACGAATGTCAAGTTTAATTTAAATTATGCTTGTAATTGGTAAAAGTCAATCGCCTAAGCACACCTCCCACTGAGGCTAATGTTACTTTTTCATCACTTAGTGTATAAGCGTTAATCAACTTGAGTTCTCTGTGTGAGTTTAACATCGTCTTTGTTGGTGCTAGCTAATTTGGATAAATTACAGAAGGAATAGGCCCCCCATTCCAATCTCAGTTAAGTACTAGGGAAACATTCAGTGCTGCTTTTCTGATTTTTGCTTTTCCCCTGCAGGAAGGAGGTGTAGTTGTTCTCTTTAAGATCTGTCGCCAGGATTGTTTCAGGTGCCTTTATCCCCAGACGCTGAGAACGTTGGCATCCATTTGCTGTGTAGAGGAAGGGATGCACCAGCTGGAAAAGGTATGCACTTCAGCATTCTTTACCAACTGCATCATAAAACGGTGAAGTCCTGTCTTTAATCTCTTCTATGAATTGATAACTTGGTGGTGTTTAATAATCTGCTGCATACTGTATTCACTTTTTCTGTGCTGAACACATCTTTAGTCTTTACAAAATTAGTCCCAGCAATAACGTTATCCTGTTCAGTTGCTTGCACAAATAAGCTTTCTAAGTGGAGGATAATTTTCATAAAACGGGTAAATACATTAGTGACTATGTCAAAAAAACTAGGGAAATTATAATTTTTGGACTCTCTGAAGCATTTGTTTAGAAACTCCAATGTTTCAAATAACCCTTAAAAGAGACAGAAAGCTTTATACCTCTTTAAATCCCTTCCTGATGCTCAGGTAGGGCACCTGCTTGTGGTACTGCAGTAACTTGTGAGAGTTGTAATTGCACAGAAAGAACTGGGATGCATATAACAGCTAGCCAATAGAAAAATGAGTCTGCTAATCAGCAACAAGTCTCATAAAAGCCAATTTTAACTGGGATTGCAAACATCAAAACATTATCCAGGTAAAGTTATATCAACTGCTTAGGCTTCGTTCCTTTCTCATTCTCACTACATACTGCTGTGTTTTGGAAAATGAACACTTCTGGTCACTAAATCATGATCTCATCCTTTGTATTTCATAAAACAGTCATCTTCTACAGCTGAATAATGGCCTCTTCAAGTTAATGATAAATGATTTCACTGCCACTTTACATTGACGTATCTTGTAATTTACTGCCCAGAATTCAAGCAAACCGTGACAGAACATCTGCAGCAAAAAGCAGGTCTCTGAGCTTACAGTAAATGAAGATGACTTAAATTTTTTTTTACATAATGCTGGTTCAGACTGACACCAGAATCAGTCTAAAAGGATCTTTCATTATGTCCACTATAATAGTGGGATTAATAGAGTTAGAAATGGAAAAGATTGATTCAACTCACCGGGTCCAATTGCTGGCAGTGTCAACATGCATTTAATGTGGCCCATATCAAAGCTGATGAAACAGGAGTCCTAGAAAAAGTGATAACTCTCAAGCTCATATATCTTTGATCTACTTTAATGTTGGTTGCAAGTAAAATTGCTCAGGGTAACTTTGTCACAATCAGGATTGGAGTAGGGTTTTAAAGGATTTTTAACTGAAACCCCTACAACTGCTTTCAGTAGTTCATTTTTCACCTGCGCCTTCAATTCTTAAATCGCATCTTGGCAAAAGCAAAGTCTGCAACATGAGGGGCTGGATGTTAATCCTACTCACCTGACTGAACAGACAGGTTTATGATAGGAGTATTTGGTTATCACTTTGTCAGCTTCTTTGCCTAAAATTGTGTTACTGAGGATTCATGTGTTATGTGGGTCCAGTACATGCCTGGGTTTCTGGTGGGGGAGAATGGAATACTTCATATATCAAAAGAAACGAAGAAATTTTCTCTGCAAGGAGGTTCATGTCCCTCCAAGTGCTAATGGAGATTAAACAACACAGGCCAATACAATGCTATATCATCTGTAAATAATCTATTAGCTGGTGACAGAGCAGGTTTGCCAGTTTGTAGAGCCGAGGAAGGATGGTAAACAAGAAAGTTTTACTATCCTTTGTACTCTCTTTTCACCCTTCTTGTACACCTATTTAGAAGCAACAAGATGTTCTGACCACAGGGAATCAATGGAAAGTGCATGGATCAGGTGATCAGTATTTTGATGTGAACAGCACTCTAGTTTTTTATATTGTCTTCTTTAAATAAGAATGATTTTTTTCCGTCAAAATTTGAAGTACTCTGGCAAAGAACAAAAAAGAGGGTTAACAATATTAGCATTCCTATTATTACAGAAATTACCATAGGACTTCTTACCTGGTTTAAAGGGCGGCTTCGATTCTCTAAGTAAGTACCTAGGTGGTGGTGAAGCATTTAATTTGCTCTAATGTGAATATCATTATGCCACCTAGTGTATTAAAACATCAGTGCAATTTGAACTTGATTTTTAATGACAGAAACTTCATTCAAACAAACAAAGCTTGGCCTCCAAATAATTCAGATTAGGTAATTCAAGATAAAAAAAAATTAAAAAAACACAAAACCCAAACAAACCCCAACCCCCTCTATTTTTCAATTAGATTTCACAACCATTAAAGTGTTTAAAAGATCACTTAAAAGAAAGCAGCAAGAGCTATCATTTCTAATGGAACTTTTGTCTGGGAGGTGAACTAAGAGTGTGGTGGTATACTTTCTGCAGGAGTTGCAGTGCTTAATTGCTAAAAGCGTTAGGAATATTGTTTATTTATCCAATGTTCTTTGATCTTGCCAATTCAATAGCAACACAAGAAGGTAACAAGAACATCTGTGTTAATGTAGATGGTTATTTAGAAAGCAAGCAAGGAAGTCAGTAGTTCACAGGAGACAACCCAAGTAGAGAGTTTTTAAACATTTTTCTTGGGTTTTAAGATGCCTGAATATTAGGCTTTCTTTATAATTAGTGCAAATTTAATGTAAATTATGTTATACTGGGTTTAAACCAGTATAACAGTCTTGAGTGAGTTTTTGTATTGCAACGTGGAAATATTGTCCTCATTCATTAATGAAGGAAAGTAATAATTGAGTGCTCATTTCTAAAGATGTAGAAAATTGGCTATTTTAAGCAAAAATATTTTCCTAATTTTTTAAAAAAATAATTCTTGTTCTTCCCAGTCACACATCTTTAAATGTATATCTGCACTACTCTCTTACCAGCACACTTGAAAAAGCCATTATTACTTTTTCATCATCTTGATAAACAAGCTGATCTTTGCTATAGTTACAATGACCAAGTAGTTGTTGCAAGGACTAGCTTTTACTCTTTTAGGTGAATCTAGTTGGCTGTATGTACAATAATGCAAAATCAGTTGGTTAAAATGCCAGTTTTAGAGTAGTTACTATTTAACTTGCAAGTACTTTACTGACTTTTGAAAAGGTACTGTTACTTTTCTGTACATTGAACTACAGAACTCCAGGAACTCAACAGTAACAAATTAGTCTGGTAATTAAAGTAGAAAGAGAATGAAGAAGTAGTCTCATTTTGTGACTGAGGACTGTGTGTAAATAAAAGTTGTTCTATGTAACCTGTGCTCCACAAGTGGTAATTTTGGTGCTTCAAGCTTGTCCTGGTTTCAGCTGGGATAGAGTTAATTTTCTTCTTAGTAGCTGGTAGAGTGCTGTGTTTTGGATTTAGTATGAGAATAATGTTGATAACACACTGATGTTTTAGTTGTTGCTAAGTAGTGCTTACACCAGTCAAGGACAGTCAGCTTCCCATGCTCTGCATGGCGTACAAGAAGCTGGGAGGGGGCACAGCCAGGGGGGCTGACCCAGATTGGCCACAGGGCTATTCCACACCGTGTGACGTCATGCTCAGTATATAACTGAGGCGAGTTGGCCGGGGGGGAAGGGATTGCTGCTCGGGAACAGGCTGGGCATCAGTCAGGGGGTGGTGGGCAATTGTGTCGTTGCTGCTCGGGAACAGGCTGGGCATCAGTCAGGGGGTGGTGAGCAATTGTGTCGTATATCACTTGCTTGGTACATTATTATTGTATTATATTATTATTATTATTATTATTATTATTATTATTACTACCACTACTACTATCATTCTATTTTATTTTACTTCAATTATTAAACTGTTCTTATCTCAACCCAGGAGTTTTCTGACTTTCACCCTTCCAATTCTCTCCCCCACCCCATTGGGGGGGAGTGAGTGAGCGGCTGTGTGGTTCATAGTTGCTGGCTGGGGTTAAACCACAACAAAGCTGCTTATGGATGTCCGGTTGTTTGGTACCCCTTAACTTCATAATCCACTGCGACCCCAGCAGGTTTGAGATCATTCTTTGGTCTCAGCTGCCTGACCAGTCCCACTTCAGAGAGGAGTGGAGAGACCCTGGAAAAGCAATCAGAATTTTCCTCCTTTGCATTATTCCTGTAGCTGCCTGTCCCTGTACCCAAAAGAGCTTTGTCATCTGTGTCTTGTGGCACTTGAGCATGCAAAGTTTTTAGGAGAAAGCTCACTGCATCAGAAAGGATGGTTATTCTTGGTCTAGGCATTCCAGAGTTCATGCAGAGACAATATATAATACAGGTAACAGATAATACAGAAAATAGCTAAAATCACTAAAACCAGAAGAACTGAAAGGAGTTTCGGGGAGGTGAGCATGACTGGAGACTGAAGAACAGTGTTAGAGCTGCACATGCAGACCTTTTTGTGTATCCAGCCCTGAATTTTAGGACAGAAATACAATGATGTAGTGGGAGATTGGTTCTCAATATAGACATTTGTTGAGGGTTCTAGAGGGAAGAATATCTGAACCTTCATGACTGTGCTTTGAAAACTTAATTTACCTCAAGCGTTCCCATATAGGAAGGACTGTTGAAGGCGCAGAGTTTGGATAGATTAACGTGTGCATTTCATGAAACTTAAGGTAAAAAAAAAAAGTTATCTTGATTGTCTGATAATGTTCATCCTGCAAATTACATTAGGAATAACTGTACTTCAAATACCATTTTCATTGTCAAGACACACATAAAATCTAACAGATATTGTCTTCAACATGAAGCAACCTTGCCTGGAAAAAGGGTTTGTATTTGAATACAATCATACATCTTTAGCACGTTGTTTCCCTAAAGCAGTTCTTCAGCCCTTTCCCTTCCTGAGGCTGCTTTAGGTCCTTGTTTTGCAGAGCTCTCTGAACAAAGCATCTCCTATATGTATGCTTGACGTGCAGCCTCATTAAAGTCTAAAGACTGTAGCAGTTTCTCTGCTTCAGGTCTGTCCATACAATGCTTGTTGTCGACTGGTGCTAGAAGGCATGGCTTTCCAGTTTTTGCCCTATGCTGAACCTCAGTTGTGTGATTTTTCACTGAGGCAAACTTCCTGCTGCAATAAAAGAACTGCAGAGTTAGTTCAGAAATAAACAGCAAACAGATAGTGCAATGTATTGCAATTTTT